TCAGAAATCTTGTCTGGATGAATGAAAGTTTTCTTCAAAGCTTCGAAATAAACAGGCATGCAGAAACACACAAACAAAAACACTAGGTTAAATTTTAACCAAGGATTAGCCTTAGCTTAGAACAACCGACCCCTGGTCAACCTACAAATATTAAGGCGCTATATTTTAAAGCTTGGTGAAACCAAATAGACGACTATATAGACCCAATACAGAAGTAAACATTTCATTTTACAGTCGACAATCAAATGTTGTAGCCGTAAACAGTAGCAAAATACTGATAACAGTTTTAAACAGAGTTTTTACTAATATTTCACGACTACATAGCGGATAAATGCAATTTATATTTTATTAACCGCCATGTGTTCGAGATCATATTAATACTATTTCACTAACAAAAATTTACATACATACAAATTTGCATGCACAAATTTATATTCCCTGACCCCAGCGTATAAAATGCAAATTTAATATAAGTCGATTAAAAATTCTTACCTAACAGGAACATTAGGCCCAGATCTTTCAGTTTGGCTCTTGGAGAACTGCAGTTTTGAAAATTCGCACGTTGGCAGCAAGCACGATGTCGCCAGTAGATTTTATACGGCGCAGCCTTTCTTCAGTGATAAATTCATCATATTGTTGCCTCAAGAGCGATAATTCCCCTGAAATATGTTCGCTTAGGTTTGCTTGTTGAAAGATTTCGACGAGCTTGCTAAGAACATAGACTTTTTTTAAAAGCTTCCATCCTGATAGCATCCATGTAGTTTGTGATGTATTATTCTTTATCCCGTCAAGTCGACAAGTATCGAACTTTATTGTTGATCATTTGTATTGCGCAATCAAAACAGAGCCACCGTGGCAGACCGTGGCGCACATGACCACAACTTTGCCCTGTGATTGGTTTGCAACGCTGCACCGTGGCAGAAAGTTACTATATTTAGTAACAATTGCGCAATTTTTTGCACGCTGACCGTGGCATTTTGTGGCTGTGATCGCAGCTTCGAATTTACGACTGTTTTCCGAACATATTCGGCACACTTCGGCACGCTTTCGGCGGTTTTTATAGTTCAGTGTTTAACTGGATAATTATACTATTGAACAAGGAATATATTTCGGAAGTTTTTCCTGCTTTTAGCACATATTACTGTAATATGAGAACAATTACGAAAGATATTATTCAAATTGTTTGCTATAGACCTATATGACCTATATTTGCTCAATTTTGCTGTATTTCAAATAACTAATATATACTTCTTAAAAATGCGTAATGCAGTCTAATGTAGTATCCAACAAAGGTGAACCCCGGAAAATCCTAGGTGGGAAAAATCTGACCGTGGCTCGAGCCACTTTTGCCACGGTCTGGATCCGCGCCTGTATATCACAAATTTACAGTGTCAGATGCGCACAGACCGTCATTTGGCGTCATACGAATAGACATTAAATTTCTAGTTTTCAACTTCTACTAACATTTTTAAAGTTTTCATTGTGAATCACCTGTTTATCTCTAATTCATTAATAATTTGCTACTTATATTTATTTGATAGTGTTATATAGTGAATAATGTGTTTACACTGCAAGCTGCCCATTAAAAAATAACGGTATTCTATTTCACAAAGCAAATATTTAAATCTCACTTGTATATAATATTAAGAATGCATTTAAAGCAAAAAAATAAAGCTTATTCATGTCAAAACGAAAGCTGTTTACAAAATTTATAAATGTGGTGAACACTACTAAACAGTGCTCATTGAAAGATATGTATAATATAATGACATATAATTTGTCGTTTGACTTATCTTTGGTGTATGAATTTTTAATAACGTAGATTCTCAACAGGCAGCTATACTTTGACAAACACCATGATCGTTGGTTTCAGCAATGCCAAGGGCCAATTTTATAGTCTTTTGACGGGCTTTAAGTTTTTTTGATAAGGCCTTTAGAAAGATCAACAATCTGGATACAGTTGGCGATATTTCGGAAATCAAAAGATCTCGCTATTTCGTTGCAATTCCACATCTCATCAATAAATAAATTCTTTTGGTCCGAGTATCAGGATAAACTTTAATACTAAATAAATAACAACCACACTGTTCGGTCTAGGGATATATATTTTCTTGTAGGTTTAATATTGCCACGCTGCACAAGCGGCAACGCCAGTAAGCGTGCTTTCTTTGGCAAGTCTATAATGAAATCTGATCCAACTTGCTTGAATTGTAACTCGACACCAGATTATAGAGTAGAACGTCACGATATAAATATTAATTCAAGTGTTCTCTTTACGATTTCTTGTTGCAAATTTACAGTAAATTTCATCACCCAAAGTTGCAAATTTAAAACGCTACAAACACGCTCCTTTCCCACTTCTCTCACAGTTACAATTAAATTTACCTCCCAGAATCTGGGAGGCACGTGACCAGCCGCAGCCATGGTCTCTCCCAGATAACAGAAGGAGAGACCCTGGGAACGAGGTTGAATTGTGTACTCGTATTTTGCAAACAGGCGTGAATTTGATTCAAAATAGTGAAAAATAAACAAGAAAACAACGCACAAATCACTAGGCTGTTTTTCGGCCTGTATCTACGCTCAACCAAAGTGTAGCTGTTTACTAATTTTGAATTGTATATTAGTGTTTATTCGTGAAATCGTCCTTATAAAAATATTATTTTTATGTCTGTTTTCACCAAAAAACCAAAGCGATAGTGGTAGAAGAGTTTTTTATTGTCAGAAAATTTTCACAGGGAGGATGGCGAATGAAAATCCAGGTGGGCGTTGCTTCCATTATTGTTTTATTGAAAAATGTTGTTTACTATACAACCGTTTTGAGAAGCTAATTATAGAGATTATAAAAATTAGAGTGGCATTGAGGGGGAAATCGAGGGACAAATTGAAGCTTCCTAATAGGGGCAAATAATGCTCTCTGACTGTCTAAAATCTCGTTGGCCGGATGTAAATTCTCATCCGCAGATGCAAGGCGCAATGTTAAAGAGGAAAGTTACGAAGTTTACAAAGTCCAAGCAAGGATAAAAAGATCAAAGTCAAGAAGAATACCTGAACTACTGAAAAGGAATGTTTTAAAGTGCTTTTTCGATATTCACCTCAATTTTTCGACAACAATTAATGTAAAACAGTCACGACTGTTTATGAAACCAGAACTGAATACTTGAATTGTAGCCAAATGTAAAAAATATTTTATTACCTCCCATTAGCAAGCTTCGATTTGTTCCTTTCGTTTTGTTTAGTATACACTCAAATAAGGATTATTATAAATCCAGCAGTCTGATTGGGGTTAGGTTAAAACGCGGATGCGGAACGGAACGGATGCGGAACGGAACGGATATGGGGTTAAAATGCGGAACGGAACGGATATGCGGAACGGAACGGATATGGGGTTAAAATGCGGAACGGAACGGATATGGGGTTAAAATGCGGAACGGAAAGGAAATGCGGAACAGAACGGGTTAGGTTAAAACGCGGAAGCGGATGCGGAACGGAAAGGATGCGGAACGGATATCCGTTCCGTTCCGCATTTTAACCCCATATCCGTTCCGTTCCGCATATCCGTTCCGTTCCGCATTTTAACCCCATATCCGTTCCGTTCCGCATTTCCGTTGCGTTCCGCATTTTAACCCATATCCGTTTCGTTCCGTTCCGCATATCCGTTCCGTTCCGCATCCGCTTCCGCGTTTTAACCTAACCCGGAACAGAACGGATATGGGGTTAAAATGCGGAACGGAACGGATATGGGGTTAAAATGCGGAACGGAACGGATATGGGGTTAAAATGCGGAACGGAACGGATATGGGGTTAAAATCCATCTGGTGGACGGGAAATTTGATTGGTTGATCAGCATCATGAAAGATTTTGATTGGTTGCAAGTTCATATACTATGATATTTACTTTACAATTTACAATTTATTCAAAAACCGATCTTGCAGCCAAGAAGCTGAATTACAACGGTTACATTTTACAAAAGAAAGGTTTAAGTTAATTATACTAACTATTACTGCTTAAAAATACTAAACATAATAAAATAATTGTAACTTTAAGTTAATGTCTATTTCAATTAATTAAACTATCTATTAATGTATTTAAGAATATATAATTACAGTTAAAACTAACAGTTATTTTCGAAATATATAAAATCCTCAGTGACTGCTGCTTTAATTATTAGAACTAGCAGCAATTATAAAAGACTTTTTAAATCGTTCAGTCTTCCCATTTGGGAATTTTAAAAGTTCTCGAAGTTCTCAGGGAATACGCTACGTCAGTATTCGGATCTGGTAGGAGTGGGTGCAATTTGTGATTTTTATCTTCCATTATTTCTTTGAAGAGTTTGTCGCACGCAATTTGACGTCTCGCTTCAAGAGTTAGAAGCTTAGAATGGGAGAGCGCTTCGGCATATGATTTGGTGGGAAATATGATTTTCATGGCTCGTCGCTGGATTCGTTCAATGTCTTTACACAGATATATGGGAATTCCATAATGAAAGACAGGAGATGCGTATTCGACAACTGGTCGGATACAAGTGCAGTAGAAACACATCGTCTCAGTGGTAGACACTTTGGCACGTTTCAATTGTCGCAAAAAGTACAATCTCTTTGATGCCTTTTTAACAATATTATGAATATGACTATTCCACTTAAGGTCTCTGCTGATAGTCAAACCCAAAACTTTACTTTGGAAGACCAAGTCTACCTGTTTACCGTTGATTGTCACAAGGGGAGGCTGCTGGTAATTAGTGTTGTATCTGCTAAATTGTATTCGCATCTCTTTACATTTGTTCTCGTTGAGGGTAAATTTCAGGGTGTTGGATTGGTTTTGGATATCATCGACCTCGGATTGAATATTACTATCCCCTCCTCTGGGTATTACCTCGGCTAAAGTCGTATCGTCTACGTATTTCCAGAGGTTGTTACTGACTGTGTTGAGGTCATTGATCATAAGAATGTATAACCAAGGACCGAGTTTGGTTCCCTGGGGTACACCTGCCGGAACTAGGGACCATTCTGAATAGCAGTCATTGGCCAACTTTACTCTTTGTTGACGATTTGTCAAAAAATCTCTTACCCATGCCAATTTATAACACTCGGCGGAACGTCCAGAGAGTGGAGCTTTACCATAAGTAACTGATGATCGATGAGATCAAATGCTTTCCTAAAGTCCAATAGAACAAGTCTAACTAAGGCCCCGTTGCCATCAGTGGCTTTAGCAACATTGTGGACTATGCTAATAAGAGCTTGCGTGGTAGATGATTTCGGCACTGTTCCATATTGGTTAGGATCCACCACTTTGAGAATCGCCGGTTTAATAAACTGTTCAACTACCACTTCCTCGGCTAGTTTTGAGACTATTGGTGTTAACGAAACGGGCCTTAAATCCTTGTTTACATTTCGTACAGGCTTCTGTTTTGGAATGGGAATTACATCTGCGAACTTCCAAGCAGCGGGTAAACGATTTTCGAGATAAGAAGAATTGAGAATCTTGCAAACGGGACTTGCTAGTACATCGGCATTCTCTTTGAGAAGCCAACCAGGAATAGTGTCTGGGCCATGAGCCTTCGTAGGTACTATACTGGATAATTTCTCGAAAATATACGATTCTGTGGTGGTAATTGTAGATGGTAATTGGTTACTGGTGCCGGACACGTTTAAGGCTTGGGAGTGGTCAGAATTTAGAGGTTGGAACACGTTCATTGGTTCTAGGAAGGTTTGATTTATCGTATTCGCCAAGTGTGAAAGAGATGCGTTGCCTTCGTTGGTTTCATTGGTTTCATCACCAGTGGGTGACAGGCTTTGAAGATGTCGGAGATCATACTTGTGGTTGACTGGATCCATTCCACACAGGTACTTAACAGATTTCCACCACTGTTTGGGATCAGAGGCTTTAAGTTGACTGACTTTTGAGTCATAGTATTTACTCCGGCATTGTTTTCGTTCCCTATTGACGCGGTTACGAAGACTTTTAAATAACTGGTCATGTCCTTTCGCTAATGCTTTTTGACGTTGCTCAATTAAGGATTTCAAATGTTTAGTCATCCATGGTGGGTCATCGAGCCGTTTCTTTATAGTTTTTGTGGGAAGGAGAATGTCCATCCCAAACCGAATAATTGATTCAAAAGCAGACCATTTTTCATCACATGACGAAAGGGAATCAAGGATTGACCAGTCAAATTCAGTAATGAAGGTGCTGATAGCTGCTTTGTTTCTCGGGTGTTGAGTGCGAACTTGGGAAATATCATATTTTGTTCTTCCTGCAACCTTGTGTTTAGGCGTCGAAAGGATAGTAAAATGGTCGGAGAGACCAAAAGGTGGAAGTTTAACTGGCGGTAGGTAAAATTTAGCCAAGTTAGTTAGAATTAAATCAAGGGTTCTCCTTCCACGAGTCGGGAATTTAACCAATTGTTTTAGACTGAAGTGGTTATTTAGACGATGACAATTAAGATTATTAAAGTCTCCAAGTAGAATAAGACCACAATTGTAATAAGTTGATTCGATAAGGGACAATTGTTCAGTTAGGAAGTCAATCATATTTCTATCATTTGCTGAGGGTGGATGGTAAATTGAACCAATGATAATGCAAGATAGGCCCCTCGGCAATTTGTGAGGACGAGCTTTAACCCACAAGACCTGGAATTGATCATTATGGTATTGACTGAGAATTTCGAATGGGATTGACTCCTTTACATAAAGGCACACTCCTCCATGTTGGCCAATTAGGCGATCTCTTCTTACAACATTATATCCCGGAATCTGGATGATGTTATCATGTACAAGGTCAGTCAGCCACGTCTCAGTAAAGCACGCGAGATCGGCGTCGGTTTGTAACACTGAGTGACGGACTTCATCGATCTTGGGTGCCAAAGACATTGTATTTGATAGCATAAGACTTGGAACAGGTTCGCTAATATTCGGAATAGACGATTGTTCAGCTGAGACATATTCAGCAGAATGTAGGTTTGCTAGGGACTCGTTTGTCACATGAATATTTGAGTGGTTTGAACCTAGGTCAACATTATTTAGCGTATTATTACGGTGAATTTTATTGTTTAATACACTGGAGGTCTGGTTGTTTGTATCGACATCAGTGGAGGTGGATACGGGAGCGGCCGAAGAGGAGGGTAAAACATTGGAAACTTCATCGGGGTAAAAAATGTGGTTGATAGGAAAGGGGAGTTTGGTTATGAACATAGGGGGGCGCAACATATGGGGGCGAGTAGGCACCAATAGGGATTTGTTGGAATTGAGAGCGGCTCCTTGGGGGTTGAACCTCATTGTGCAAGAAGTCGCACCTAGAACCCTTCAAACAATATCCCCTCTTTCTTAGGAAGGGGCACGGAACCAAATTCTTGGGCTGCAGTTGAGATAAACGATTAGCCGACGGGACACCATTCTCATGTTGCAAAACTTTTCTAGGTAAACTTGAATTACCGTTTGGCCTGTCAAGAAAGCTATTGTCTGCCATACTATCTCTACCATTGTTATGCCGCAACAGGGGTTTATCAGTGATTGTTAAATCGACAGTGTTAAGGTTAGGCAATTTAACATTAATCAATTGTTCGCAGTCGTGAGACTTGTCACTCGGGTTAACAGCGTGTAATGGCCCTTGGGGGCTATTGTTTCCGTCGCTATGTGTATTGTCACTCGGGTTAACCGCATGTAATGACCCTTGGGGGCTATTGTTTCCGCCACTATGCGTATTGTGGATTACCTCTTCACGCATCAAAAATTCCATAGAAAATAATTTAGATTTGAGAACCATATTTTCATCATTAATTTTGCAAATTAACTTATCTTGGCGTCGAATAACAACCTCCAAATCATTTTGTTTTGCTTTTAAAGTTTTAATTTCTAACTTGATCTCCTCTAAGGGAGAGGCGCTGACAAGTCGAGACTCTAAAACTGCCATATCAAGTTTTATTCCCTCCAATTCTGCTTTGGTAACGTTGCTACCACAAGTACAATTACAACAACATACCTTGAAACCATTGAGGCGCTCATTCTTGTTTGCACAAACTTTTGCAGTCGATTTTACCGCTAGTTCTTTAGATTTTAGATCGTTATCTTGGTTTTAAAATTTTAGATCGTTATATGGTTTTAAAAATAGCTCTGTCAAAGCGACAATTAAGCCGGTTAAAGACGAGCAAGTTTTCTTTAAGAATCTTTAAAACCCGGAATGAGAAAAGCCGGAATCTTTAAAACCCGGAATTATTA